GAAACCGCCTGGAGGCTGCGCACGCGCTGTGTGAGTGTCGCCGTGCTGGGGCCGGGGCCGCCCTGTCCCGGAAGCGGAGCAGCCCTTGTGGGAAGCGGGAGGAGGCGGTCGTGGTTTACCTGTTAGGTTGAAGGTAGACTTCTAGCGGATTGTTCGCTTCCGAGGGGCCGCGGGCGGTAGCTATCGGGTCCCTCTGACCTGTGTTGGGGGGCCTGGGAAAGGGCCGTGACGGGTCCTGAAGATGCGGCAGGGAACACTGACCATGGCACTGCTCTCGGCCGTCAGGGGCGCGACCTGGCGTTGCTCCGGGCGCCTCCTCACGCGTCATTTCTCCCAAGCCGCGCGGTGTGGGCAGCGGCCCGGCGGGGAGGAGTTAAGACGTCTGCTACTGGATGACTTGCCCCCGACCCCGCGGTCGGCCGGGGAGCTGGAGGTTCTGTTTGGCCTGTCCCCGTGTCTCTTGGCCCTGCGGGCCGCCCGCCGCCGCGTGGCCCGGCTTCTACTACAAGCCGGCAGGTCCGGGCTGCAGGGGGAGCGGGCCGAGCTGCTCCGGGTGGCCGAGGCGCGGGACATCCCAGTCCTGCGGCTCAGTCGGCAGAAGCTGGATGCCCTGTGCCGCTACCACGTCCACCAGGGCGTCTGCATGGAGGTGAGCCCGCTGCAGCCTCGGTCTTGGGCTGAGGTCGGGGAGGCGAAACCGGGCGACGACTCCCAGCAGCTGTGGCTCGTTCTCGAGGGGCTCCAGGATCCCCGGAATCTTGGGGCCGTGCTGCGCTCCGCTCATTTCCTCGGAGTGGATAAGATCATCACCAGCCGGAGAAACAGGCACGGACGTTCCCAGTGTGTCCCAATTTTCAGGCGCACCCGAGTTCCCAAGCACCTTAACCCTTGGTGATCCCATAGCCAGGCCTCCCCGTGCCAGGAATCTCACCCTTAACCCTTGGGGGCCGGGGAGGGCAGGGCAGCGGGCTGGAGGTTACCCAGCTTCATGCGGGGCGTGGGGAAATTTTGCAGCTGCCCGCTCACTCCGATAGTTAGCAAGGCCAGCGCGGGGGCCATGGAGGTGATGGACGTGTTCTCCACTGATGACCTGGCCGCTTTTCTACAGGTAATGTTGAGGCGGGAGGAGGGACGCGCCGGCGTAAATGAGCAGTACCAAGCTTAATCTCCAAGGGCACTCAGCCAGCTGTTGATGTGCTTCCCTTGCTGGACACAAGGGGGCAGTATTGCCCCGCATTTGGTAGCTCCCCTGACCGTTCCCCACCAGGTCTTCCAAGGCCCGCCCAGTCTTGAATCTCTTTTCTGTATGTATGCATTTCTTGTTGGTCTCATCCAGCCTCAAGGCTTTAGATACTATTTAAATTTGAATGCCTCTTAAATGTATCCTAGCCTGGAACTTGCTTCCCAACCGGAGATTCATGTATCTAGTTGCCCACTCAACAGTTGTCTTTTGCTGCTTGATGAGCATTTCAAACTTATTTCCAAAGCCAAGCACTTTCTGCACGCTTGCCCAGCTCAGTCGATGGCAACTCCATCCTTTCTTTATTTAGGCCCCAAACCTTAGTGTCCTTAATTCTTCCTGCTCTCACATTTCATGTCCCATCCATCAGTGAATTCTTTCAGTTTTTCCTTGAAGTTATGCCTGTATTCTCACCATTTCTCACCATCTCCACTGCTACTATCTGGTTCAAGCCACCATCATCTCTTGCCTGTGTTGCAGAAGCCTCCTGACTGGTCTCCTTGCTTCTGCTACTGCCTCTCAACACAGCAGGCAGAGAGATTCTGTTGAAACATGTCAGACCTTCTCTGCTCAAAACCTTTCATAGTCTTTGCATCTCTCAGAATAAAGGCCAAAGACATTCCAGTGGCCTCTGAGGTCCTGCCTTAGGCTTGACTTGGACTCTCTTTCCACTGGCCGCTTTGCAGTTCTGTCCATCACACATACCAGGTAAGCATGATCTCTTGGCCTTTGCACTTACTGATCTCTGCCTGGAATGTTCTTCCCCCAGATGTCTACACTCAGATGTCAGCTCACTGGGGCTTTTCTTGAACACCCTTCCACAAGGCTGGGATTTTGGCTTGTTTTGTTTGCCACCCTATCCCTGGTACCTAGAACAGAGCCTGCCTGTTCTATGTACTTAGTAACTATTGATGGAATTGAATGGGTCAGCAAGGGAATGAAAACATGGGCCAGGCTGGGCTCTTCAGCTAGCATTCAGATGAAGGTCTGATGAACTGGAACATGTCTTTTTCCCTCTCTCAGGCCAAAGCCCAGCAGGGCTGGCTTGTGGCTGGCACAGTGGGCTGCCCAGAGCCTGAGATTGCCCCATCCTCCGAGATTCCCATCACTAGTTGTTTGGACTTCCTCTGGGAGCAGCCTACTCTCCTAGTGCTGGGTAGGTAGATCTCCCTGTTTTCCCCTGATCAGATGAGTGTTGTCTGAGTGTCTGCATCCCTAATCCTCTGCTCATGTGCTCTGCAGGGAACGAGGGCTCTGGTCTGTCCCGGGAGGTGCAGGCCTCCTGCCGGCTTCTCCTTACCATCCTACCTGGCCGGCAGCTGCCTCCTGGACTCGAGTCCTTGAATGTCTCTGTGGCTGCAGGTGAGTCTACTCTCCTCTCACGTCTCTGCCTCTGGCCACATCTGTGTAGCTGTTTCATCCTGAACAAGTTGCTCAGTCTCTGTGTCTCTATTGCTTTATATGCCAAATGAGGAAAACATCCTTTTGAGGATGAAATGAGAGAGTGTCTGGCACATGTTCCTTCCTCTGCTCCATCCCCTCTCTTCCCCTTGACCTTCTGTCTGTGCAGGAATTCTCCTTCACACCATTTGCAGCCAGAGGAAGAGTTCCCTTGCAGAGGCGAAGAGAGAGCAGCTTCCTCAAGACCCCAAGAATCCTCAGCCACATCAGAAGGGCTCAGAGTGGCTCAGCACCCAGGACTGTCCTAAGGATCAGAAGAAGAGAGGCAGAAGGGGGACTGACTTGGATTGTCTGAGGTGTGTGTGTGCTGGAAGGCACACACAGCCATGTGCTTGAATGTACTGGCATCTCTTGCCTGAGTATGCACCCAGGCCCCTGTTTATTAACTGCTGTTTTGTGGTGGAGACCACAGTTCAGTTGAGTTCCCTGTTTTGATTTCGGGCTTGTGGTTGGAGATGGTAGCTTGTGAATTTCCAGGATGTGCTGGGACAGAGTGTCTTTTTCCTCCTCAGCCCTGCCCAGAAGTCAAGGGGAAGTCTAGACATCAGAAGGAAATTGCATGGCCCAGTCCAGACAGCCTGTGTCTCTCGAACCAGTGTGAGAATGGTGGAGGGAGGCCCGGGTCCTCCTGTGGTCCAGACAGATGCAAATCCAGGATCAAACCCTTCCTTCCTGGGGGCCTTGAGCACATGGCTTCATCTTTATGTGCCTCAGCCCTCCTCTGCACCTCCTTCACAGGCGGTTTGTGAGGATCAAATGAATACCAGGTTTCCAGGAGACTCTCCGTTCTGTTTGATTCCTCCACTAGGTGGCAGCCTCGCTCTTTGGTCATAGTCTCTTTGGGACGCTTTTAGTCACCTGGGGAGGTTCCTGGCTGGAGCCCCGCTGAGAAGCAAGGGAAAGATTAGCAAACTCCTTCCATTGTCCCGCAGGGCCCACCGGAGACCCCTCAGTCAGTCCACCTCCTGGAAGGAACCGATGAACCAGACCCCCGGCCTTGGATTCCGTGAGGTGGTGAGGACAGGGTTGCTGTTAATTGTGCAATCTAGACAGAGTTGGTACACAGCTACCCTAGGGTCCCACAGCTGGAGCAGAAGCCACCAACATGAATAGTTTAGAGCAATCTTTGGCTGCACATTGGGACCACCTGGCAAGTGTTAAACAGCTGGCACCAGGGAGCAGTGCTCAGAGAGTCTGATGTAATTGGTCAGGGGGCAACTTGGGCATCAAGATTTTTAAAGTGCCTCAGGTGAGTCTAATGTGCAGCCCACGCTGAGAAGCCCTGAAGCAGGGTTTCTGCACCTCTGAGCTGTTGGCCTCCTGGGCCCAGCAACTGTTGTGACAGCCTGTCCTGGGCACTGCAGCATGTTCAGCACCTCTGACCTCTGCCCACTAGGTGCCAGTAGCACCCCTTCTCAGTCGTGATAACTGAAAATGTCTCAGGACATTTCCAGAACGTCCCCAGGGGGACAAAACTGCCCCTAGTTGAGAATGGCTGCTCTGGAGCATGGATCCAGAGGACAGCAGCCCTCAGGTCAAACCCCCATTGCTGTGTGACCTTGGGCAAGTTCTTTTCCCACTGAGCCTTCGTCCCCTCCTTGGTGGAGGGGCCAATTCTCCCTTCCTGGGATGCTGGGGCATAGAGGGGGCAGTGGGGACTTGGTGCCTCACACGTAGTAGGTGCTCAGTAAGCAGTGCCGTGCTTCTCACTGTGGAATGCGTTTATCTCGAAATTTGACTGGTGACACCAATTTGGAAGGACATTTGATTTGTTTAAAAAGGGCCTAAGAGCAGAGAAAGACAAGTACCAAATGATTTCCCTCATTTGTGGAGTATAACAATGAAGCAACACTGAAGGAACAAAACAGCAGCAGACTCAGACTCCAAGAAGGAACTAGTGGTTACCAAAGGGGAGGGGTGTGGGAGGGAGGGAGATGGGGATTGAGGGGTATTATAATTAGTATACATGGTGTGTGTGTGGGGTCACTGGGAAGACTGTGTAGCACAGAGAAGACAAGTAGTGACCCTGTGGCGTCTTACTATGCTGATGGACAGTGACCGCAATGGGGTGGGGGGTACTTGATAATATGGGTGAATGTAGTAACCACAGTGTTTTTCATGTGGAACCTTCCTAAGAGTTTATATCAATGATGCCTTAATAAAATAAAATAAAAAGGGATAAGGGTGGGGAAAAAGAAAGGGGGTATTACGATTAGCATGTATAATATGGGGGGGGCATGGAGAGGGCTGTGCAACACAGAGAAGACAAGTAGTGATTGTGCAACATCTTACTATGCTGATGGACAGTGACTGTAATGGGGTTTGTGGGGGGGACTTGGTGAAGGGGGGACCCTAGTAAACATAATGTTCTTCATGTAATTGTAGATTAATGATAACAAAATAATTTTATAAATAAATAAATAAAATAAAAAGGGCCTAAGAGCACTTTAAAGTCAAAGTCTTCTCTCTTAAGAAAGAGGAAGAAACCCCTTCACAAACTCCACCAATCTGTACATGGCCCCCCTGAGTTGTCCCTGACCAATAGGCAGGCCTGACCTCTGCTGGCATGTGTCAGCTGTGGGCATGCTACACTGCCTCCCCCATCCCTGCTGTGCTCTTGGCCAAGAGCCTAGTGTGGTTTTTAACCTTGGCTGCACCTTAACGTCATGGGGGATAGCTTTAATATTCCAGATGCCCGGGGGCATCAGACTGATTAGATCAGAATCTCTGGGGAAGGAGCCAGGTACCAGCATTTCAGAGAGTGCCCCCAGTTGATGCCAGTATGCATCCAGGTTTGAGAATCACTGGCCCCCAAGCCACCTGCTTAAGTCTGAGAAACTGCTTCCAAAGCACTCATACCTGTGCTTTTGAGCACATGCCTGAAAGTTTGGGCCAGTGACCTTTCATCTGTCTCTGAGGCTCTTCAGAAGATCCAGCCCTGGCTCCATGGCTTCCTATCTGGATGGCTTCCCAGTCTCCTCATCTGTAAAATGGGGATAGTACCTTCAATATATGCTCCAGCTACCCCTCCCCAACAGTGGAGTTGTAAAGATAAAGTGAGGGAGTAACATTAAGAAGTGTCCTGTAAACTAAGGGACTGTGCACCCCAGGACTAGCTCATGATGATATAAACCTGGATATGATGGTCCAGTTTATATGTTAACTTGACTGGGTCATGGAGTATCCAGATATATGGTTAGACGTTGTTCTGGGTATTTTTGTGTGGTGTTTTTAGATGAGAATAACATTTAAACTGGTAGACTGAGTAAAGCAGATTGCCCTCCCCACTGTGGGTGGGCTTCATCCCATCAGTTGAAGGCCTGAATAGAACAAAAAGATGGACCCTCCCCTGAGAAAGAATTCTTCCTGTCTTTTGAAACTGAAACTCTTCCTGGGTCTTGATCTTGCTGGTCTTGAGATGGGCACTACATCACTGGCTCACCTGGGTCTACAGTTCGTTGGCTCACCCTGCAGGACTTGGGACTTGCCAGCTTCTGTATTCACATGAACCAGTTCCTTATAATACATGAGAAGTATGAATATAGCTATGTGTATACGTGTATATCTCCTATTGGGTCTGTTTCTCTGGAGGACCCAGACCTGTAGCCTCGGTGGAGACCAGGCTGAGCTGTGTGCTGGGGCTCCCTCTGTGCATGGGTACAGAATCGAGCTCTGCTCTCCAGGACTTAACCTAGCATGAGACCTAGATATCGGGGGTGGGGGTACTCAGGGTCCAGAGATTCCTCTCCTATCCAGGGATTCCCCTGCGGTGTCTGGAGGCATGTTGTTCATCAGCTTTCTGGGTCCCAGTGGTCTGGGCACTCTTGGGCTAACAGCCAGGCACAGGGGGCTCCTCCCTGCTTCGTCCCTGGTCAACAGGCTGGCTAGCCTCTGAGAAGACAGGTTCACTAGAATGAAAAGGGATTGAAGCCCTAGTTACCTGCCATGCACACACACGGCATGCAAATCAGGCATTCCCAAGACAGGAAACAGCCTGGGCCCTGAGGCCGAGGATGAGGCCTGATGCTCCCTGGAGTGGCTGGTCTCTGGTCCTGACACAGCACTGTGCCTGACACACACAAGCTGCTCAATAAGAGTGTTAAATATTCAGGAGCTGGGGTGGCTGTGCCTTGGATATGAAGGGGATTGGGCGGAGGGGTCCATCCTCTGCAGGGCAGGGTCAGGGTGAAGCCAGAGCAGAGAACAGTGGTAGTTAAGACTATGACCCTGGTTGTTAAGCAGTGTTCGCTTTGAGCTCCAACTTTGTGACTTCCTAGTGGTATACATGTGGACATACCCCTCAGCTTTTCCAAGCCTTGGTTTTCCTCGTCTTTAAAATGGGGTAACAATAGTGTCTACTTGAGAGGATCATGGTGCAGATTAAATGAGATCATACAGGTAAAGCCCTCACCCCGTGCCTGGAGGAGGAAGGCAGCTCTTCTTACAGCCCCTGGGGGCAGACCTAGAGTTCAGGGCACTGGCTCTGTTTTCCTACCAGCAAGGCCTCAACTTCCCCATCAGCTCTAGCTCTCCTTTCACTTGCATCTGCCTGTGAACAGCTAGAAGGAGGTGGAGAGCAGAGGGGATTGGAGTGACAGTCGCAATATCCTCCTTTGTCAGGGCTCCCCAACCAAGAGGGGAAGGGTCTGGGAAGGCTGGTATCCCCAGAGCAGCTGAACTGTGGCCTGCACCCCCACCCCCATCCAGGGTTGGAATCCTTTTTTTTGGTAGGAGGCTAAATTGCCAGCTCCCTCCCCTCTGGTTGGGGTCCTCAACTAGACCCCCCCAACAGGGCCAGGTGCTAGGGATCCCCCACGGTTTGTAAATGTAATCAACCTTGAGGTCGCAGGCTTCCACAGGTGCAATTAGCCTGCCCATCTGCTAATCCCTGATTAATGATGTTTATAAACAAGAGACTCCACTCACAGAGCTGTTCAGCCCCTCCCTCCCAGGCTTGGAGGCAGGGGGTCTTCCTGGCGCCCCACAGTACACACCCTCTTCAGGCCTCCCCAGCCAACACCCCTTCCCATTTCCCTCCCCAGGCAGAGCTGGAGATTGGCCCTGACCCACTCTCTCATTGCACGCAAGTAGAAAGGGAACAGAGAGAGCACAGGGGGGACAACGGACAACGAGGCTTAGTGGTAGGGCTAGGATCCTGCTCTTCCCTTTCCTCCCAGTTCTGAAACTCCAAGGATGCAAGGTGGGCTTGCTGCCTTTATTTACCACACCAGCTCCAGCCCCAGAGCCTCATGTACAGGCCTCCCTGCAGGGAGGTGTGGGCTCACCCCCAGTGCCCCATGTAGGGAACACTTCCATTCCACCCACCTTTAGCTGAGGACTTGGTGGTGCCAGAGGCCCAGTGGTGAAAGCATTGAGAACAGACTTCTGAGTCATATGCTCCTTGTCCAAACATTGGCTCTTTGTCAAGCCAGTTGCTTAACCTGACTGAGCCTCAGTTTCTTCCTCTGTAAAATGGAGATAAGGGTAGTACATACTGCCTGGGTTGTTGTGAGGATTGATTGTCAGGTTTATGCAAAGGACTCAGCACAGTGCCTGGGACATAGTAGGTGCTCAGTAAATGCGAGCTCTTTATGGCAGTAAAAGTGATGATAATGATGGTAATGAAAGGAGGCGTCTGAAGCTACAAAGATGCCTAAGAACTTTCCCTTCTCCCCTCACCCATCTCTCTAGGGAGAAGGGCAGGTCCCAGCTCATTACTGGTGGGGGCTGGGGTGGAGGTGTCAGATTGGAATCACCCCTGGGTCTTTTCACAGCTTCCCTGTTTCATTAACACCTCCCTGGTGGTCTTCAGCTCATCCTGCTGGGGGAGGTGCTCCAGAAAGTTCTAACTGCCCCCTTCCCAGCCCAGAGTTCAACGCTCTCCACTTTTAGGTCTGCTCAGTTGCACACAGAGGTTTTATGTGGAAGAGAGGTGGCCACTGGCCAGGAGGCAATCACTGTTCCCTCCACCCAGGGTCCTTGAAGCCTGGTCAGGGGCCATAGTCCCTGGGTCTGCCTCTTCCCCTGCCGACCCCCATGGACCTCTCATCCATGGCTTCTAGTCCCCCCACCCCCACTGCATCCTAACCCGGCCACTTCTTCCTTCCTTTCAAATCTCCCATAACTCGACAGGCACAGCATGGTCTTGGGTTCTGATCCTGCTGCGTCCCTCCCCTAAGGCAAGTCACTCCTCCTCCTGGACATTCAGTTGCTTCTTCTGTAAAACAGGGATACCATACCTACAGCAGGCTGGCATAGTGCCTGGTAAACTGTGAAGTCTTGAGAGTGTCAGCCATTGTTACTTTACAGGCACAACTGCTCTCCAAATTATCTTTTTAAATTGAAGAACCTTGTTTAGCCGACAGGGGTGGGTGGGGAAGCAGGGCCAAAGCCCCAAGGACCATTAGCGCGTTCAGAGAAGCAGGAAAGGGCATGAGCCCTGCCCCAGTTAATTGTCCCAGTTTCTTCCCCAGATTGGGAAAAGGAGTGAGGCTAGTCGTTGAATTAGGACCAGGAGATTTATACCGTGGTCTCTGGGAAGGCTGCTTCTAAAAATGGTTCCCCTCCACTCCACTCCAGGAAGGATTCTTATGGAAATGCCTGTCCTTCACCCTCCCAGAGCCCTCTCTCACAATATTCCATTTCAGAGGACACCCTTCACCAGCTGTGGTGGGCAGGGAGGAGGGGCTGGGCCCAGGTCCTCCCTGCCTCAACCCCCAGCTGGGTTCCTGAATTTGGCCCCTTCTGCTCTCTCCCCCTCAGATTCAGGCTTTTATGCTGACATTGGTTGGTTTCAGAAAGAGAACTCCATGAAAAGTGGTACCTCTGTGGTTTACCTGCGACTTCAAAAACGTCATGGGCTGTAATGTTTAGAAAGAAGAAACTAACGCAAACCAGCCAAGAGAGG